CCCCCACCCCCACCCACCCCACACCCACACCCACACCACACCCACACCCACACCCACACCCAACTAGCCAACCCAAGGATTCCAAGGATGCCATAACACTTGGGACAGTGAGAAGTGGTGGAAATGCTAGGAAATCTAAGGATTCCAGTGATTCCTTGCCAGTTGGCATAGTTTAGAACAGCCGGAACGAAGGACTCAAAGAAATTCAATGATTCTCCGGCACTTGGAATAGTTAAGAGTGGTTTGAAATCCAAGGACTTCAAGGATTGCCTCGCGCTTTGAACAGTCAAGAGTTGTCGAAAACCAAAGAAATACCAGGATCCAAGGATTCCTTGGCGCTTTAACCGATCAGGATTGGTGGTAAAGTGAAGAAACCCAAGGAGCTGAAGGATTTCATTACATTTTGTTCGGTCAAACTTAATGCAAAAACTAAGGATTTTCAGAGCACCATTGATTTCGCAGGTGTTGGCGTGCTGCAGAAACCATCAGAAACCTGAAAAAACCGAATTTCTTAATCACTTTAATTGTCTTTTAATCAGTATGATATACGGAAATTTTCCAAGGTTTCCAAGATTTCGAAAACATTGCGTACAAACAGCGTGGAGTCGACTGGGTTTAGTCAGATATTTGGTTGATAATGTAATAAGTGGATAATGCTAGAATTTTCAAGGAATTTAAGGATTCCTTGACGTTTTCAATGGTGGAAACTGTTTTCGGAATGACTGTGTTCAAGGGTTCGAAGGTTTCTCATGCATTTCAGAAGTGGTGCTACCAATGCAAGAAACGAGGATTTCCAGAGAACCTATAGTTTTTCGAGCATTGGACAGTGTCAGGCAGTATCAGGAACATCTAAATACAAGCAGCTTTTGTAATGACTTTGATTCATTTTTAATGAATAGGATATGTTGAAGTTTTTCAAGGTTTCCAAAGTTTTGGATTCCTTGCATACAAATTGCGTGGGGTCTTACTGGACTTGGTCAGATGTTTTATTCATTATTAGTAGAGAACATTTTATTATAATTTTTCAAGGATTCCTAGAATTTCGATAGCGCTTCCATTTGTATATTGTCTGGAGCGTATACCATACAAAAATAACTTTGCTTTGGCTTCCTAGTCCTTCACTTATTGAATCCGATATTGAATTTTTTTACTCAACGATTTTTCCCAATCGATGACATACAGAGATTGCCATGTCAATCGAATGATAAACCGATGGAGTCATTGAGTTGTTTCGATTTTCCTCCTCTACCGTTTCTACCAACAATGACACTTTCCTGTGTTACTCCTTTGGGTCAATGCATGATTAGATCATTCCTTGTATCGATCACATAGACAGCGCCCATTTAATCGACAACAACTCTTTTTGAATATGACAATTGTCTAAGATCATTTCCTTCTCCTTGACTACAAGGTCACGACAATGTCTTTCTTTTGCATCTTCCATCCATTTCATCACATAACGATTTCCACAATCAGACACGTACACTGAATGATCTCGATAGACGAATAGGTATTTTGGGTAATAGCGTTGATCAAGACGATTTGAGTCTGGGTGTATTATTTTCAATCCAGTGCTCACACTCACACCGTTAGTAGGGTAATTTATCTATATTATTCGAAAGAACAACGTGATCATCATTGAAACTGATTGGCGTTCAATTGTGCGTGGATTGGTTAGCGAGTGTGGTGAAGAACCTCATCCAGCATCCGGCATCCACGCCCACGTCCTTCAATGAACACAACTGCAGGTTGAACTTTTGATTCTCCCATGCACAAGAAACTATCGTTTCTCTTGCACATATTGACATTATGTTATTCATAATCATCATTAACAAGCAAAGAATGTAACTAATAGATGATAGTGATTTGATAATATTCATAGAGTCAGTCACACCGAACTAGGTTATCATGAAACAAGAGTTGATCTCTAAGTACATACAATACGATTGCATTCCACGATGCAATTGTTCTTAAAAAGCTCGATAAATTTGAATATTCGACGTAATAATCAATTTCATCGTTGCAATAGGTTTCATCATGACACTTGTCATTGATACACAAAAAAAAACGTTTTTGTGAGATGTGAGTATGGATCTAGATGTTTTTCTACTACAGTCAGATCAATACTGACAGATAATCATTCATATTCTCAACCATACACTAAGGCTTACATCATCAGGGATCTAAAAACAAACCCAAGCTTTCTCCACTCATCTTTCACACTTAGAAACATTTGAATATTTCAACTATGATTCTATTAAATATAAGAGCATACGAAATAAGTAAGTGATAGAAAAATATAAAGTACGAGATAAAAATACTAACAAGTCTGTAAGAGAATATTTAAACTGTCAGTGCCATTATTGGCGACGACAAAATCTAGTTTTTTATCATTATTGAAATCTCCAATGGCAATCGAAAATGGATTGGAACCATAGTCCAACTGAACTAGCATGATGCTTTCAAAAGTACCGTCTCCATGTCCAAAAAGTACACTTAGATAATTGGCATCATGATTCGCGACGATAATGTCTTGTATAGTGTCATTGTTAATGTCATTTACAGCTAAAGAATATCTAGACGAACTTGAGCTTGTTGAATACATCATCTGATTTTCAAAAGAACCATTCCCATATCCAAGAATAATACCTATCGTGTCCGACTTACAACTAACAAAGACGATATCCACTCGAGCGTCATTGTTGAAATCGCCGACAGCCATAGAGCATGGAGATAAATATGGGTGTGTTGAATATGTCATTTGATTTGCAAAAGAGATATTTCCATATCCAAGAAAAATACCAATATTGTGAGTGCGTGAATTAACGACGCCAATATCCATTAGATCATCACTGTTAAAATCGCTAATTACTAACGACTGTGGTCGCGAATTATTTCCAGTTATCAGTATCATTTGCTTTACAAAAACTATATTGTCATAGCCAAGAAGGACACTCACATCATTGCTACCATCATTGGTGACAACGATATCTAGTCGAGTGTCGTTGTTGACATCACCAATAGCTACAGAGAATGGATAAGAGCCAACTGAATACCTTTTTTGATTTTCAAAAGAACCGTTTCCATATCCAAGAAGAACACTCACATCATTACTATCCCCATTGGTGACGATGATATCTAGTCGAGTGTCGTTATTGACATCACCAATAGCTACAGATCGTGGAAAAAAGCCAACTGAATACCTTTTTTGATTTTCAAAAGAACCGTTTCCATATCCAAGAAGGACACCCACATCATTGCTCCGCGAATTGCCGGCAACGATATCTAGTCGAGTGTCGTTGTTGACATCACCAATAGCTACAGAGATTGGACCATAGCCAACTGAATACCTTGTTGGATTTTCAAAAGAACCGTCTCCATATCCAAGGAGGACACCCACATCATTGCTACCCCCAATGGTGATAGCGATATCTAGTCGAGTGTCGTTGTTGATATCACCAATAGCTACAGAGAGTGGCTCAAAGCCAACTGAATACCTTATTTGATTTTCAAAAGAACCGTTTCCATATCCAAGAAGGACACTCACATCATTACTATCCCCATTGGCGACAATGATATCTAGTTGAGTGTCGTTGTTGACATTACCAATAGCTACAGATCGTGGATATATGCCAACTGAATACCTTGTTTCAGTTTGAAAAGAACCGTTTCCATATCCAAGAAGGATACTTACATCACTGCTCCGCGAATTGGCGATAACGATATCTAGTCGAGTGTCGTTGTTGACATCACCAATAGCTACAGACCGTGGAGAAGAGCCAACTGTATACCTTGTTTCAGTTTCAAAAGAACCGTTTCCATATCCAAGAAGAACACTCACATAATTGCTTTCCCAATTGGCGACAATGATATCTAGTCGAGTGTCGTTATTGACATCACCAATAGATACAGATCGTGGAAAAGGGCCAACTGAAAACCTTGTTTCAGTTTCAAAAGAACCACTATTGTATGGAACAAAGATATCCACATGATCACGTCCATCGTAAGCGACAGCGATCTCCGATCGTGCGTCATTATTAAAATCACCAGAAGCCATAACTAACGGAGGTCTATCAAAGCCAATTTCATAACTTGTTTGAATTGCAAAATTTTCCTGCCCATTTCCAAGCATCATATCTACATGCTTTGTACCAAGATTGGCCACAGCAATATCCACTACGCGGTCACCATTGAAGTCCCCAACTGCGATAGAAATCGGATGAGAATTCATGCCAGTGCTGAGCATCATTTGATTTTCAAAAGAACCATTTCCATAACCAAAAAGAACGCCAATATTATTAGTACCGTAATTAGCCAAGATGATATCCAGATTAGTGTCATTGTTCAAATCACCAATGACTACACATCGTAGGCTAGAACCACCACCAGGTGCCAAGCTCATTTCATATGTAACCTCTCCTCTATTATATTGCAGAAGGACACTCAAATCATTGCTCCGCGAATTGGCGACAACGATATCTAGTAGAGTGTCGTTGTTTACATCACCAATAGCTACAGAGAATGGATAAGAGCCAACTAGACACTTTATTTGATTTTCAAAAGAACTGTTTCCATATCCAAGAAGGATACTCACATCATTGTGATTCCTATTGGCGACAATGATATCTAGTAGAGTGTCGCTGTTGATATCACCAATAGCTACAGAGAGTGGACCAGAGCCAACTGAATACCTTATTTGATTTTCAAAAAAACCGTTTCCGTATCCAAGAAGGACACTCACATCATTGCTATCCCCATTGACGACAATGATATCTAGTAGAGTGTCACTGTTGATATCACCAATAGCTACAGAGAGTGGATAAGAGCCAACTGAACACCTTATTTGATTTTCAAAAAAACCGTTTCCGTATCCAAGAAGGAAACTCACATCATTGCTATCCCCATTGACGACAATGATATCTAGTCGAGTGTCGCTGTTGATATCACTAATAGATACAGATTGTGGAGAAGAGCCAACTGGATACCTTATTTGATTTTCAAAAAAACCGTTTCCGTATCCAAGAAGGACACTCACATCATTGCTCCACGAATTGGCGACAATGATATCTAGTCGAGTGTCGCTGTTGATATCACCAATAGCTACAGATTGTGGAGAAGAGCCAACTGGACACCTTATTTGATTTTCAAAAGAACCGTTTCCATATCCAAGAAGGACACTCACATCATTACTATCCCCATTGGCGACAATGATATCTAGTCGAGTGTCGCTGTTGACATCACCAATAGCTACAGAGCGTGGACCAGAGCCAACTGAATACCTTTTTTGATTTTCAGAAAAACTATTTCCATATCCAAGAAGGACACTCACATCATTGCTCCACGAATTGGCGACAACGATATCTAGTAGAGTGTCGCTGTTGATATCACTGATAGCTACAGATTGTGGAGAAGAACCAACTGAATACTTTGTTTGATTTTTAAAGCCTTTGTAACGATAACGACCAAGCAAAAAATCTATGGCACCAGTATCATTGTTTACAACGACAATATCTAATCGGTGGTCCTTGTTGAAATCACCTACGGCAACTGAAATAGAGGAAGTAGCTCCAGTTTGATACATGATTGGATTTTCAAAGCTGCCGTCTCTATATCCAAGAAGTATGGCTATATTGTCAACACCTTTATTCGTGGTGATTATGTCCAATCGATTTTGTTGGTTGAAGTCTCCTACCCAAATGGCAATTGGAGAAGCAGACTTAATGGAATAGTTGACTTGATTAGCGAAAGTTTCATTACCATTATTTAGGAGCACACCTACTTCATGACTTCCAGAATTAGCGATAGCGATATCGAGAAAGGTGTCTGTATTGAAATCACCAACGGCAATGGAGTACGGTTGAGAACCAATGCCAGTTGAGATAGTAATTTGCTTTGCAAAAGTGTTGTTGCTATTTCCAAAAAGTATCATAACATTATCAGTGCCATAATTGGCAATGGCGAGGTCTAAGTAGTTATCATTATTGAAATCTCCAACAGCTATTGAGGATGGAAAAGAATCGTAACCTGTCGGATATGTAATTGGAGGCGAAAAGCTTTCATTTCCATATTGATAGAGTATACTGATACTATGGCTTCCGTAATTGGCTATGGCAATATCAAGTAGTGTGTCATTGTTGAAACGAGCACCGATAATCGCTATTGGACGAGAGGAGCCTATTGAAAGTTCTGTTTGATTTGCGAAAGACCCATCGCCAAATCCATGAAAGATAACGATATTGTTAGTGCCAAAATTTGCTACTGCAATATCCAAATGAGAATCATTATTGAAATAACCAACTGTGACCATGTAAGGACTTGAGTAGGAACCAGTTGAATACGGAATTGGACTTTTAAAAGTGCCATTCCCATACCCAAGATAAACAGTTATTTTGTTACCTGTATGATGAGCAATAACCATATCCAAACATGTGTCATTGTCGAAATCACCAACTGCAACAGATCGTGGGCCATACTTGTATTCGACTGGTTTTTGAGTCGTTGGTTTGAATTTGAGCTTACACTTTTGAACTAAACGACACATGAAAAGCAATGTGATGACTGATTGGTTGCTCAAGTGCTACTATCTCTGTTTGATCGTATTGGATCCTTACAAGTTTTATAGTATGCTGTCAGAAATTACCGTATTACTGTATTTGCACGCAGCTGAAAACCGATCATCTTTCATTAGAATTCCACTTAGTTTCTTGAAATTCAGATAGAGCTAGACATATGCGACTATATTGTGCAAGTTAATTTTCTATTTCGTTTCTTCGATTTACTCTAGAATTTGTTCAAAAAGTGCGTCATCTTTGAGACCGAAGACGAACATCAACGAATACAATATGAGTGAAGTGTGTAAGAGTGTACCAAATTACGTTATCAAATGTAATCACTTCCGTATTTTATAATTATTTTTTCTAGCATTTACTTTGCTAAAAGTTTGATACAAAAGATGAAAGTTTCATATTTTTACACACTCAAATGGTTATCAAAATTATTGTGTTAGGTAATGCTTTCAGAGGTTCTATTAGTAGTTTGAATTAATAATTATATTAACAAATAGAATATAATAATAGACAAAACTATGAGGATAGAGAAAGGGATGTGAATCTACTTGCTGAGTAATCATACACGAACAGCACAATATATAAGCAAAGAAGAAGAGATAGATGATGCAGAAAATGACGGCCTTCGTTGTAAACGCAGACGTTAGTGATTCGATGATAAGAACAACGAATAATGATCGATAATTTTTGTGTGAAACATGCGCAATTATTTAGTTCAACTTTTTTTTCTTCCAATTTCAAAACTATGACTTCAATCGACGTGTTCTATCAGAGACGCTCGTACGTGTTATTTTGAGGTTTTAGTTACAGATGCTCCATGTAATCTTATTTTATCTATAGAAAGTGACCAACATATCAACAAGTAACGCTTCGGCTCCATGAGCCTCGCTTAGCTCAGTCCTGAAAGCCAGAAATGAAAGCATAGAATATTGACTACCACGTTGCTAAATGCATTCATAAATTGGACTCAAGTAGAGCCAGACAATCTTTTCATATGAATAGAGCGACCATATCTACCCACCTAATCATGCTCACGCTTTGTAACACACTGAATCGTAACACCAAACTTGAGACTCACACGCCGGTACATAGCACACCCATTAGATAGTGTCTCCAATGAAACCCAAAGCGGACTCACGTCGAATGCACAAATGCACTAACAAACTAGAACAGCTACCATCAAGAGAGACCTCTCTATCTTCACATCTTCATTCTGATCCTCCTTCGCACCAACGCCTCTATCTTCTTGGCACATAATTCTCATGCCCTTAGCTTCGTACTCTGCACTACGCATCAATGATCCAACGCACTTCTCTCCACCCTCTAGTCACACCCTAATCCTCTCAACCGTTTGCTCGCACCATTACCTCCACATCCTGGTCCTAACACTCTTACTCTACTACCCCCTGTGAGAATGACCTTATTCTGCCGCGGATAGTCTATCATCCATACTCTGGCACTTCTCTCTACACTCTAAAAAATTTCCGTCTCCTAGGAAACTAAAATCAGTTTGGAAACCCTTTCGAAAACCTTTTTTGGTTTCCGAAAGGGTTTCCGATCACTGAAATCGTTTTCGAAAATACCTTATTGGCTTCCGAGGTTTCGGAAACCTTTTGGTTTTCGAGAGTACTGTATTCGATGCGCGTAGGGTATTCTAGAATACCTTTTCATCACTGGCGCAAACCAAATTAGTATTTTCGGAAACCTGTTGGGTATTTTAGGAAACCAATTCTGTCCTAAAAGTTGTTTGGGTATCTAAAGAGGTATCCGAGAATACCTTATCGGTTTCTGAATCACTACCTCGGAAACCTCAAGAGTTTCCGAAAGCTCGGAAACCCTAACTCGTACCCGAGAATACCTTTTTGGTTTCCGAATCACTTTCTCGAAAACAAAAAGAGTTTCCGAACTACTTTCTCGGAAACCTAAAGAGATTTCGAAAGCTCGAAAACCCTAAGTATACCCGAGAATATCCTTTCGGTTTCCGAATCACTTTCTCTGAAACCAAAAGCGTTTTCGAATGGCTTTCTCGGAAACCTAAATGGTTTCTGAAATTTCTGAAATTCGAAAAGGTATAGTGAAAAACAGAAATCAGCTTTCCAACTTCACTTAACTACTGCACACTTTCTAGGCTTGGAAACTTTCACAATGAGTCTCTAAAGCGTTTTAGAGAGCAACAATTTTTCCAATGCAGAAAGTTCGCGTTTCAAATTCATGTTTGGGTCATGGTTCTGTTCTTCATTTCTGGAATTCTTAGAGAATCGAAAGCACTTAGAGCTTTCATGCAACATGTTTGATTATATATGTGCAGTTCATAGCTTTCAATAAATATAAACTTAAATCTAATTTTTTTTCTTTATTTAGGTCTATATGAATGTCCATTACTAATTCTGGTAAGTCAGCTGATTTATATAAACTTAAATCTAATTTATTTTTCTTTATTTAGGTCAGGGCTGTCAACCGTACCCATTTTGGGGTACAATACCCCATTTCGACATTTTGTACCCCAGAAAATTTCATACCCCAGGGGTACATATTTTGTACCCCATTTCGATTTTTAAGTCTGGAATGTGATAAAAGACCATATCAAGGTAAAGAAAGTGTGTTTTCCCTCTAGTCCTTTCACTTCTATCTATCTAAAAAAGTATCAGTTAACAAATGATCGATAGATTTCTACATCTGCTTTGTTCAGTGTCGGATTGAAATACTTGGTTGTTCATACTATTATCGTTATAAACACCGAAATAAGACTTAAACATTTCTCCTTATCTGATTTCTCCGTGTTTCATTAATTTTTCTTTTTTATTTGGCAAATACATATTCTATTAGATATATTTCT